CATACACAGACATTTTTGAAACTTTATTAAAAAAAACCTAAACCATAATTCACCACTATAGACACTTTTTGACAAAAATGAAAAATTACGACTTTGTTACCCAATGAGAAGTGTTCTAATATAGACAATGGGTCGTGTCTCATATTATTTGTTATATTTTTATTATTCATTATTTTCACTTGACTCGCATAAATAATTTGTTCGAAGAACATTTATATGCAGTTGTACTTCGCAGCACTTCACTTGCAATTTCTAGTTTTAAACATAACCCTTGAGCACAAAATGGATTCGCCCATAAACGCCCTGTGTGTAATTGGCTATGTAGGCAGAGGGTTGAGGCATGCAGTGTAATTTATACTGTTGTAAACACCATGATAATTGAAATACAGTAACTGTCTTCCAGGAAGATTTTGTTGAAAAACGGTCGGCCATCTTGAAATTCAAGATGGCCGCCATCTATGGTCTATGACAATATTAAAATCAAATAGGTTGACATTGAAAACATAGGGTTAACACTTGAAATTAAGTCAATATCTGCTATAGTAGAGTTATGGTCATTTTTATGGTTAAAATGTCAGCCATTTTGAAATTCCAATATGGCGGCCAAGACGATATTGAAAAAAAGGACCCTTGCATTTTTGGATTCAGCATACCCAAAATATCCAGAAAATGCAATTAAATTGCTTTGGGCAAGCTTATCTCACAAACCTGATTTTTGGACACTAGGTTTCTCACTAATAGTTTTAGGCACTTAAATTTACTTACTTAAACCAAGTATGCAATGAAATAAGTTGCTTAAATAAATGTATTCCTAATTATTCAGTTTATTTTAAAAACAATATTTGATTAACAAATACTTCTTTGAAGTAACTCTAAGCAGAACATTTGTTGAAGTAAAGTAAGCCTCCCTTTTCCAATACATGAACTTGTCATTCAAACACACAATTGATCCACATGCTTTAACTACTGTTTATTTGCACTGTTTATAATATGTAAAGTTATTTCATGTGATACTTAACAAAAGTGAATTTTGTGGTTTAATCTATATGAGTTGCATATTTTGGTAGTTGAAGTACTGTATGTATGCCATTCCTCTATTTGTTAGTGGAATAACGTTTTTAAAACTTATTTCAACTATCAAAAAATGTTCAATGGCCGTTGTTTTCTGATAATTTCTCAGTACATTATTTGCATCTGTTGACGTGTAACTGTATTTGTTATTGATTCAATTCTTGCTTATTACAATATTTAAATATTTGAAGATTTAAAAAAAAATATTTCTATTACTGAATTTTTTCATTAGGCCATTTTTACCTACTTTTCATTTGGGGCCCTTTTTACTGGGGCCATTTTTACCGGGGCCATTTTTTCCTGGGCCATTTTTTCCGGAGCCATTCTTACCTACATTCGTAACAAGTCATATTCTTGGATAAGGACTAAAAACCGTAGGCTCAGGTAACACAATTTGGCTTGTGTGCACTGAAAAGAACCCAGTACATTTTTCTTCGAGACGAGTAGGGGTTTACCCCGGTGTTCACTGGTTAGACAAAAAGACCCTTAGGGGAGACGAAAGTTACTGTATGAGCTAGTCCACACCTCATTCAAGCACTTTGATACTCCTATAAGGCCCCATAAAAAATTATTAGTTTATCGCCCTATCAAAGAATAAAAACTGATGAGGAAGGGAGGTTTTTTTTTCCCAACCTCGCCCCCATTTTACCGATGATAAATCAATGGTTAGGGACACATACATAAAAAGTCATTAGGTATGAAATCAAATTTAAATATGTTTTTGTTGTACCAATAAACATATTTGCAAGAAATGCTGAGCTTATCAACTGAAAAAAGATGGAACGACTGTTTGAAATAAAAATATATATGTTGATTTTTTTTTTTTAAATCAGAATTTCCCCAAAGTGATGAAGGGGTGGGTGATAAACTAACACATTTTATATGAACACTGAGGCTGAAATTGCTTAAAAATTAAGAACAAAATAAGAACAAATTGAGGCCGAGGTAAAATTTCAAATGAGGTTATATTTTTAAAAACCAAAATATTATATCTGTACATTATGTGAGTAGGTGTGACTGTAATACCCAATACAGTACAGTAGGTGTACCTATCAGACATTTGGGGGAAATTTTTTGTGGGGTCGCTTTCACCTACATTCCAGTACAGTGTACACTTGCCATACAATTAAATCATTTTTTGTTTAAAAGGTGTGTAAACCAAGAACAAAATAAGAACATTTTGAGCCTGAAATCTGCCAAAAAATAAAAACACTGAGCCTGGACAAAATTTTACTGGTTCTTTTAAAAAAAAAAGTGTATATTTTAATTCAGCGGGGTCACAAGAATGTAATGAGTACCATACCAATTGGAGTGATAAAGCAAGGAAATTATAAATTTATTATTCATATGGTTATTTATTGAAAATTTATAGTACTCTTTTTGGATGCCTATTTCTAATTCCTCAGTTTGTTAGGTTCAATTTACTCATTTATTAGTGTCACCCTACCTCCTCTACTCATCCGTATGTTTATCTATTTTTATCTGTTCACCTCACTTTTAATATTTAACCTTATGTTTCCAAAGCCAGCTCCAAATATTTTATCCAAAGAAAATATTTTATTAAGGCTACAAGATAAATACAGGACAATGACCAGCTCAGTCCTTCAGGATAGTCACCTTGTAGACAAAAAAATAAGTCAAAATACTGTACTGAAAATTGTGGGTAATGATTGCTGGATCTCAAATGAGATACAAAATTGTTAGGAAAAGCTCAAATTTAATCATACATTATATTTAAACTGTATGAATAATCAAGTTTGCTCAGTCAAGAAAGAAGGAATAGAATATCTTAGGATACCACCATGTAAGAAAATGGTAAACTCATTATCCCATTAGTGGTAATGGTTAGTCTAAATACAGACATTATGGTGTCATTTAGGTACCTTGGTAGGGCCAGTCCAACAAAGAGGGTAATGAAATATGGGATAGATGGCCAAAGTCACAGAGAGCATGTCATATATTTTAATTAGATGTTATTGTAAATAGTCATAACAGTGTTCAAATTTAAGATAATTTAAGATATCTTAGTTTTCTAGATCTAGAAAACTAAGATATCTTAGTTTTCTAGATCCAGAAAACTAAGATATCTTAGGTCTTAGTTTTCTAGATCTTAGTTTTCTAGACACCCATTTTGCATGACAGAACAGGTACGGTAGTGTGTCGACACGAAAAGTTTAGTGTATTATACAAACGTTGAGACCGCTACACAGCGGCCTTTGCTTCGAGATTTGAGCATGAAGGCAATGCAAAAGCAGCTTTCTTAGCTACGTTTTTTGTCCGCTGATCAGTTAAAAAACATATTTCATTTTTATTTTATCACTGATTAGCCCATAAATATAATGTGTATGAAGAAAACATTAAACAATATTTTAATTTGAACCTTCAAAAAGCAGTTAAAAAGAAATTGCTATGAAATTTTAGGGGGGGGGGGCCAAAGCCTGTTTAGCCCCCCTCTAAATCCGCCCCTGGTAACACATCAGTTAGGGCAACATCACTCCTAGGAATTTGAATGTTAAGCTTAGCTCTGGAAGTAAGAATTTGGATGAAAACGATTACTTACAACATTATGGTGGATTTAAAAAATCAGTTGACGAATATAGAAAATTACAATGTTAATGAATTGTCATTTAATATTTTAAAAATAGATACAAATTTAACAGGTCAGTGTGGGCTAGTGGAAGTGCCCGAATGATATGAATTGCATTTTTTCTGTTTCAAAATAAGCTGCTTATTTAAGTATTGCACCGAACATTGCAATAACTAAAATAAGGGAGGAATTGGAGTACATAGTAAATTGTGAGCTGAGCGTGATTGGTATGGTTCCTGCCTCTTGCATGTCAGGGCCCGGGTTTGGGATCCGGCTGTGCAGCCGAGTATTGAGTTTGGGTCAGCTCCTCGATTAACCCTTTCATGAGAGTTAGGCGAGTTTGTATCTTGTACTCGGGTGTTGGGGCTCTGCGTCTTCCATGGGTCTCAGCCAAAACTTCCAGTGTTTATTATATTTGAGGACAAATAAAGATTTATAATTATTATTGTAGAGGATGTTGCGTGGAATGAAGGAAGAACAGCATAAAAATGATATTTTTTGAAATCTTATTTTCAAGTTCTTTAATGTGTATATTCCATGCAACCCCTGAATCGATGTTGATGCCAAGAATTTGTTTTTTCTAATAAAGGGACATTTATAATCTGTCTGTAATCCAAGTCTACTTTTATTAGATTTGGAAAATAACGGCACAGCATTTCTTAAAAGGAAGGATAACTGAATGTGTTAGCAGAAATATAATTTGAAAAAATTGCTCAATTCTTAGTTGAACACTCCGAAACAGTAGTGTCATCAGCATAGAGGTAAAACGAAAGTAAATTAAAGAACGTACAGTATTAATATAGAGACAAAATTTGAGAAATGGCCTTGTATATTTCGTACATTGAAATTTATTGGATAGGCAAGTTTTGAAAAGACCATTAGTGGTTCCACATATTTCATAACTGTGAAGTTTAAATAGGAGAATAGTCACAGGATTGAATGCCTTGGAAGGTTGATAAAATACCAAAGGCAAGTTCAGTATTTGCAAAGGCATCCACAGTATTATCACAGTGTGTTTGTCTGCTGGTTGGTTGATTAAGGAACAAATATTAAATTTAGCATGCAACTAAAAAGGAATAACAACCATAAAATGAAAGCTATTTTTATTTGTTTTCTATCTTTGAAATGAGTAAAAATATATACAAACGTAATGTGTTCAGAGTCAGACCATTTCTAAACTAGATTTACCATTATACACATTTTCTTCACAAAAAATTAACTGCTTGTCAAAGAAACATAACTGCATGTTTTAGTCTAAAATGCATGCTAGTGACTATATAAACAGTTGAGGTTGCTGCATTCAATTATCAGCATACAAATGGCAATCAACAGAAGTTTAAGGTGAAGTAAATAAATTTTGTAATTAAAAATAATAAAAATGCAATAATATAAAAAAAATAAATAAATAATATAAATAACATATATTAGCAATACTGTAAATGATCTAATAAGTGCTGCAGTGCTTATAAAATGGTTAAATGCTATGCTTTCTTAAAAAGGTTTTAATTCTACAAGTTATTAGATGGTTAAAATAGTATTGTGTACACAAAACAATAGGCCTATCTGACTTGTAATGTTATGTTAACTTTGTGAGAAATCATGTAAATCACAACATAATTATTTTACACAGTAGGCCCTAGAGGTAATAGTAATAATAATAAAAACAACACATTAATAATGCTCAACTAAATTTACATACTATAGTATCAGGGAAAACTGTACAATAATTTGTTATGGTGCTTTCGTCACAATGCTTGAAACAACATGTAAAATAATATGCTGTATTAAAATCGTGTATATTTACAGTGTTTAGATGTAAATTGAAATGTTTAGGTTACAATTATATTGTGGCACAGAAAAATTCCCATTCAATTATTAAATATTTCTAATATAAAGAATCCTCTTTAAATGCTTCCTCCAAATTGATTTGAACATTTTCATGAATCTGTTTTTAAGAAACTTAAATTTATGTAAAATCATAAACTATGAAAACCCATAAAAAACATAAATTAATACATTGAATATCTCCTATAAAAGGATAGGTCATCAATTTACAATGATTCCTATTAACACAAAACACAACAGCAGCTCACAATAGCGATAAAAACGCACTTACACAGTGCATCATAACAGTTGTTGTTTGAGTTGCTATAAATAATATAATAGGTTCTGTTTTATTATGCTGTAAATGGGCCTTTATATATTTTTTTTACTAATTTACAAACCTTATCTTTCTTTCATTGTTATTTCCAATCATCTAATAAATACCTATCAATCTAAAAGTTAAATACCATATTCATCCATGAATATTCTTCATATGTATTATTATGGATATTCTTCATAATATATATTATTATGGATATTCCTCATATGTATTATTAATAAAAATTATGATTCAAACTCAAGTCTGGTATTGTTTCAATGTTACTAAATATTGTACTTATTCCATTATATTAATATAGTCCATCTCCTATGCCGACATATCCTAAGTGGAGAGAGAGAACAATAGGTAAAATGTTTTTTCCAAGAACATAAGGTAAATGCACAGCAATGCCAGACCTCAAGGTTGAGATCCCTGATCCCTATAAGCATCTCTGATTTACAGTATGTTTGTGCAATTAAGTTATTAAGAATTATTTACATTATACACAATTAATATTTTATTTAAGTGTAGTTATAAACAACAATCTATGATTCAGGTACATTGAAACATTAATACACTCAGCAGCCATTGGAGTATATCAATGCCAATAGTATTAAAAATGATAGCTATAGCAGTACACGCTCATAACACTACACCGATTCCAATCAGTACACCGATACCAATAGTACTAACTGATGGAAATGGCTAACCTGTAAATATGCTATTCATTTTGAATGACTGCGTGGTAAGCATGCCGCAACAGTGCGTAAGGGAAGCAAGATTCCAGCAAGTCTTGTGTTAAATATGGGGACTCTTGTACAATCTGCAGAAGGAAAATACATGTAAGTATATAGAAAATAGAAATTCAAGTAAACATTTTAGATAAAATAGGGGGAAGGGTGGGGGATAAGATCGGGGATAAGATCAATTCATTTGGGAGAAAGTAGGTTTGGGACCAAAATCCTTGGCATTACTTATTAAGACATTTATTTTGCTTTGAGGATCATATATAATTTTTAAACTATTTTATTATTTAGTTTAAAATTGTGGATAAAACAAATATAATACCTGATCAAGTAACAAGTAGACCGACTCTCTGCCTTTGATTGTGATCTTGTCCGTTTCCTGACTCAACCGAAGTAGGCTGGATGATGCTAACTACATATAAACAAAAACACACACTAGGATAGTAAATCATTATTTTCATTCTTACTACAGTACTATAATCTACAAATCTTGTATACCTGTATACAAAATTCACTCAAGGCTATTAGTAATTTGTTACCACTATCATTATAAAATTATTGTTGATACAATATATAATTTACTGCATTTAAGGAATTCAAATATTTTAGCATAAACTTAAATTAAACTAAAATTAATGGTATATCCTGACCAGCAAACATAAATCAACCTAATTTATACAATGCTCCACATGCCTTTTCAAAATTGTATTTAATAATTCACAAGCAGCTTGTCACATTTTCTTGACATAAAGTTAAATTAGAGCAACAAAAACTTGTCGTGTCGCCCAAGCTCTGTGACATTTTGGGCTTTCTAAAAATGACTTTACATTTTAAAAATTTTGGGTAAGTTAGGCTGCCACAAAACAATTTTTTTTTTCTTGACAGAGGAAAGCTTTCTCTGAGTAAGAAAAAAAAACTACACGGTAATTGGACTGGAAAACTACTTACAGCAAGGAACTCCTGGAGTCTTTCCTCTGTGTCGTTCTTATTGTGGATCACAAAGAGTGAGGCTGCAATGGTGTTTATTGCCTTAGCAAGGCAATGACTGTTGTTAGGATGCGCATCCAGAATGGAATTGTAAATGGTCTGTTCACTTTTCACAAGAGTTTTTAAGCTCAACGCAATGAATACGATGAGAAGGCATGAATAGTTGTAGTCCTGGTCAGGGTCAACTATAAAGATCACATTAGAAATAAGTAAAACAATATAGTCAGGGTTTAAGCTGTCATTAGCCAAATTGATAAATCCTAAGAAAAGCTAAATTTTGATAAATATTTTCATTCCAAATTAGCCAAAAAGCTAATGGAATTGAAACTACCATTGCTTATATTCTATTGTTTTGGGCTAATTAAATTTCTATCAGATAATACCAAATTAGTTAAATTGCTAAATATTTTTTTAGCCAGCTTAAATCCTGTAAAGTATAGTTGAGCATGTAATAGCTTGAATAGAAAATAGGTCATTAAATTATTACATATAATGCACAGATAATGGAACAGGTAACAGCTTGGAAAAAGTTATTAGATATTATGCAGACAATTGATAGTAAAGTATTATAGTACAGTATATAATAATTTGAAAAGTTTTCAAACTTATCAATCTGTTCTTATGATAAAAATATCTTGTAAACATAGATACACTACTTTATATATCAAATCTCATTTTATACAAAAATACTAAAGAGTAAGCATAAATTAATACTTACTGCTTTTGTCCGATTGCAAGGCACGTACAAGTGCAGGATCCACATTACAAGATAGGCCGACGCTGGATGCTAACTCATTAACAATCATGGAAGTACCATCTGGAACATGCTCACGGAAGTCAATGACCGAGTTGTTTAAGAACGGGACTCGTATACTTAGAACCTACAGTGTTATAAAAAATCATAACTTTATGTGTCCTACGTTAAACAAAGGGTCAAATCGGCTCACATAAGAGCAGTGGCGGCTCTAGGATATAATTTATGGGTGGGGGAAGCTAAGATGTCCGACTGGGGGGGGGGGCGCTAAGTATTTATGGGTGTAACTATAATGCGCAGCGTTATCTGGGAACCGAAAGCCCAAGCCGGAGGTGGGTATGGGAGGGGGATTCCCCTCCTCCCAAAACAAAATTTTTTTTTAAATTGGAACTTCTAGATGGCCGAAAATGGCTGGGATGGGAAAACTAGGCCTATTTTTTTTTTTTTGGTCGAGGAGCTTTGGCCGATAGGGGGACTTGACCAAACCGATTGGGGGCTTAACCCCCTGCCCCCCGCTGGCGCTGCCACTACATAAGAGATAAATGGCTCAAGAACTATACTATCACTTTGCACACTATTGGGTGTAATATGACATCACCATGTCCATATATGGGCACATCACAAAATTTGTCACATAAAATTTGATAGTGTGGACAGAGCTTTATTACTTATTTATATTTCAAAAACATTGTGACTAGCTTCCAAATACCTATTTCTTGTAACTTATAACCAAACTTAAAGAAATATGTTAGTGTACTTACATCAGCTAATGCCTCTTGGGTAAGGCTCTTGAAGGCCAGGATGACACCAATGATGTTTAGTCTTGTCATTAAGTTATCCACATCTAATAATAGGAAATAAATAAATAAAATCATCATTTTATGAAAAAATCTTTAAAAAATGTCCTCTGTGACACATAAAAATACACATGATATTCAAATTAGCACTCACATTTCAGTTGCAAGAAGAGTTCTGCCATTTTGTCTGGTTGATCAAAACTTGTTCGAAGTTGCTGTAGAACATCATGATTTTCCACTACCAATTTCTAACAATAAAAAAAAATTGATATAAAAATGAGACTAGAACTCGGCATCAACATTCTGAAACTAACTGACAAAACAGAAAATAAAAGGAAGAGAAAAAACAATTATTTCTGGAGTAGTTAAAATGGAGATGATATTTTACACATACCAAGAAGATTAGGATTTTTTATAGAGGGTTGAAGTACCCCCTTCAGGAGAGATTGGATTTGGAATTAATTCTACAAAAATAGACTAACAATTCTCAACATATTAATATACATTCAAATTGAAACTATCTTAGCTTTTGCTGATCTGTTGATCAGCTTTTTCAGCGGCCTAAAATCATGTTTGTACACCTCATTGTGACAACTAAGGTCTTGAATGACAGATTAAAATTTCTTAAACAACTGCAAATACTTCTGACGTATTATATTATTCCTGAAGGCGATCTAATTATAGTTCAAAATATTGAATCACAATCACAAGTCCTACTAGTTACATACTAAATTATTCGGAAGCTAGTGAGATACTGTGAGATACCTATAATAGAGAAATGAATGAAAAACTAAAACCTGCAAGGAATAAACATAAATAGAAGAGAAAGAAGTAAGGGCAGGAGTCAATATAAAAACATCAATATTTATATGTATATTATTTTAAAATGCGCCCTGAGCAGAGGACAATCAGATCACAATTTTAAACTGTTTTTACCTTAAGTTCACCAATTTGGCTAGCAATATGCCACATCAAACTCTCACGAAGGAATTTCATTCCATATGCACCAAGTAATTCTGCCAATGCACGCAGCTCTGAAATACAACAAAGGTATTAATTAATAGCTTGATAATAGCATTCTATAAAGTGAATCACAATGTACTGAGGACGACTATGATAGCATCTAAAAGGCTACCAGTGAGATGTGATGGAATAAAAATTTACCTGTGATATCAGTGTACTCTTCTGCATTAAATGGCAGTTGAGGGTCTGGGGCCAGGCTGACAAATGCCTTCTGGTAGGGGGAGTAGCAGATTTGGCCAGCAGTCACACGGCGCAACAATGTTTCCAAATACCTGTATTATAAAGGTAAATGGATATTAGGAGGTGGAGAACCAAATGTGACCCAAGATCATAAAAGGGCTGTAAACTAAGTTTTTGTTATGATGACATAGAACATATCATTTACTTTATAATGACAGTTAAATGACCTCAATCGTGTGTCTACAGAAGCAAAGTTATGACCGTTAGAACAATTGTCATCTTATCAACTTTCTTAAATCAAGTTTTGAGAAAAATGCCTTTATTTTCGGCAGGTTTATATTCATTTTTCACTAACTCCCATCCGAAAATAGCTTAATTTTACCTTTTATAGTTGGAATTTCGAACTTCAGGAATATTAAGATTAATAGTTATACTTTATTTATTACACAAAAAAACCCAATTCAAACAAAATTCATGTTCTACTGCCTATTGACTCTTGTTTCTCAATACAGCGTGGTGCGAGTTAACAGCCCTTTTATGATCTTGGGTCACAAATACTACTTCTGACATAATTGAATGACAAGTTTAGAGGTTAGATACACATCTGTTTATGGAGTAACAGATATTGGGCACTCAGACATGCCTTCTGGTGTATTACCAAGTATGGGTAAGTAGAAAACTTGCTAGTTTGTGTAGCTGAGTAATTTTAGCTAAAACCCTGGGCGTTCTGCTGTGCAAGTATTTGGATGAAGAAGGCAACTTACCAATTTGTGTAGTTTAATGTTATAGTCTTTTCACCGTGGGCATCTTGCTGCTGGGTCTGTTGCAATAGCACACTGTTGAACACTCGCGTTATGTCAATATGAACTACAGAAATGACAGAATGTACATACTTATTCAAAATTAACTGGACTCTTTCTATCTACACTTGGCATTAAGAGCATAGGCTCTCAATAATTAAGAAGGTTTAATCTAAATTCAATGCTAACTACATAATGAAAAGAAATAATTGAAATATGTGAGGCGTCGTTATAAAACTAGTCTTGTGGTACACCACATCCATTTAAGATATTCAAGAAAATATATCTAAAGTGATATTTTGACAAAAAATGGTTTTCAATGTTTCTGAAAGTTTACTATATATATATTTGATAGTAGAAAAAGTTATGAGTTGATTTACATAAGATAAACATGTTTCTGAGACACATTCTGTAAAGCTATACTATATTTCAGAATTGATAGATTGATGCAAGTAATGAGTAATAATAAAATATTAACAGAAACAACAACTGTGGAAGCGGTTTGGCGCAGCAAGAATGGTTTGCTTTCCTAACCTCGAGGTCGGGGTTTCAATCCCTCGCTCTGCATTTCACTTGTGTTCTTGAGTAAGACACTTTATCTGCATTGCTTCTCTCCACCCACGAGTATAAATGCATACTTGGTGGGGTTGCCTGCTCCTGCATTGATTACCAGCAGCAACACTTAAAGCATTTGGACCCAAAGACCAGGGAAAAGAAGTGCACTTTATAACCTCACTTATCAGAAACTGATAAGGAAGAGGCGCATTATAAATGCCTATACCAGTAAAAATCTGACTTACCTTGATTTTCTATGCTCTGTAGGACCCCCATATATGTCTTGACGCTAAGCAGCAGCTCTGATGGCTTAGCAATTTCCTTTGTGTCAGGGTTATACATCATCATCCCAACAAGAGCCCTATAACCAACATCGATAACTATATATAACATTACTATATGATAATATAACTATAACAATTACAAAGACATAATGAAAATTATGATTAATAACAATAATCAAACATATGGCTATCTTGAACACTGTGAGATTAAAGACAAAAAAAATTATAGAATTAGCAAAGGATAAAGGCTTCTGTCAGAAAATCAAAAGACTGAAATCAAGGGGCATGGTTTTCTTCAACTACAAATTGTCTTTTTTATCTATTATCTATTAATTTATTCATGTTTAAAACATCAAAACAATTCCAAACCAGCAACAAAAGCTGAAACGATTGGATTACAAATGGTTGTATCTAATGGTGTATAGGCCAAGCTTCATACTTTGAAAGTGGTCCACAAACTCTCCTAGAATGTCATGATATGCAGAAGCAACTTTCCAATTGTGACGGGATTTACGAGCATGCCTGGTGGTAGGAACAAGTGATGATTTTAACGTTATAATTTGTGCTAAATAACTAGTGGAAATGAATCATATTTCGCATATTTAGGTAAACTCCAGGGAAGACGAATGTTAGTGGACCATATCTTATCTTGTTGACTGTTTTGTAAAGCTCAACATTTTGAAAGATATGACTTTTCAAAATGGCAGAGGTAAGCCAGGATACTCAATACGAGGATGGACAACAAAGCCGGCCGTTGAACGAGCTAGTTGTACAAAGCCAACAAGCGAAGAAAGGTAGGCCTAAGAAACCCAGTCTGCTGTTGAATGCACCAGCTGATAACAGTGGATTGGAATGGGATGGCTGTAAAATATCATTTACTGAAAAGCGCAGCAAGCTACTGAAATGTGGTTACTGTGAAATAAAAAGATGTGTAAAATGCTTGAAAATACCTGAATCAACTTTTAAAAATGTTGGTGATAGACCAGATTTTCCATGGTTTTGCGAAAAATGCATTGAGAAAACCTTGAGATTTATTAAGAAAGAACGAGAGATTGAAAAAAGATGTAGTAATTTTCTTGAAGGCTTTCGGAAAGAAGTGGAAACTAAATTAGATTCTATGCAACAGCCCTCAAAATTAATGCCGGCATTCGGCAGTGCCGACGTAAACGGCGTGCAGCTGCCCAACCCCGACGATAAAAAAATCGCCGACGTGAAGATTTTAGGCCTAGCCCAAGCTAACCAGTTGTACCAGAAACAGACGCGACAGGATCGCCGTAAACACAACATTAAACTTTATCTTTAATGAAATCAAGTTATTTAATGTTTTTTATGTTGTATTATGATTAAAATGTGAATAAAATCAAACTGGATTGTATGTTTCATGTTTTTATATTGTTTTTACCTGCATTTTTCGGTCTGACATTTTTTTCTGAACAACACATTCTTGTGTAAACATTAGGTCGTGCCTCCTAAACTCTGCCCGCTAATTGGTTAATTTTTTTCGTGGGGTCATGATGGATGGGCAAAATGTGCTTGGCTATGATGACGTCCGATCGCCCAAAGTTTTCTAGTGCGTGTCAGCTTGCAGACAGAAACAAGCTCAGTGTAAACAGATTAATTTTTAATTAAACAGATTTATTAAAACAAATAGGAAACCCTCGTGGTTTTGTTTTACAGTCAAAACTAAAAAATTTTAATGTCATTCTCTACAAATTTCCTTCATAATTAGCAACATGTTTTTGAGGAATGAGTAAAGCTAAGATTTACACTGATGAATCTACGACATCCAAATCCGAATTAAACTGAAAAAGAGTCAGCCATCGTAGAAACTTGCTTTGGGTTCCGTCTTCATTTCAGGTCGATTGGTTTTTAAGGATTAGGCAAGGCTATAATGCACTTTATGAACAATATTAAGGTGTAATGTTCAATTTATCTAACATTAACGTTTAGGCCTACTGGTGTGTCGTTTCAATTAATAGATAATCTCTATGGCAACGCTTTTGGGACTGAGGTAGCTGTACGACGCGTCATAACCGTCGCGACAGTTCATTCACAGGGTGTTGTAACAGACAGCAATGATTATTGCGTTATTTCGTTTGGAAAATCATTGTTTATTACTATTAGCTATTAACTGTTTGTTCGGTTTGTACTTTCATTTTATTTGTCATCATAAAATAAACATTGTTCAACATTTTATCAATAATTAGTTAAGATTGAAAATTAGTACTAGGCTTTCCAGTTTAATTGGGTGACTTGAAGACATCCATCACTACTACAACAGGTCAGCATGGGTTGATTTCAGGGCTGTAAGCTGAAACTAAAAATTGCCTACGTAATAACCGGCGTAAATTTTATAGCGCCGGCGATTTTCATTTCTTTGCCGACATACTTTTTTCCTAATTTTGAGAGCTGTATGCAAACAGAAATAAACAAAATCAAAACCAAAATATCAATGGAACCAGTCGGATTTGAACATAAGAGGAAGTTGTGAGAGAGATATATAATGACATCAACAATAGGATAGCAAGACAGAGGAATATAGTGGTATTTAATTTAGCTGAGGGATCAAGTAATACATCAGACTTGATTTAAATGGATAAACAACAATATGATGAACCTAACAGAAATAACGATAGGAATAAAAACAACAGAATTTGAGGTAAGACGACTTGTTAAGAAAGAATCAGAGGATAGCATAGGGGATGAGAAACCTAGACCACTCCTTGTTTGCCTACAGTCTGAAGAAATTCAAGACTGATGAGAAATTTGTATAAACTAAAGGGGGCTGGGGCTCCATACATTAACATAAGTATAAGGAATGACATGACAAAGCGAGAAACAAAGACAGATAGGAAATTACGCGAAGAAGCAAGGAAAAAGAACGCAAGTGATGAAGAGTCCAGTTTTTTATACATGGTGAGAGGTCTACCATGGGACCGGAAAGTGGTAAAAATTACAAAAATGCGTCAAAAAAAAAAAAAAACCCAATAAAATATGGGTTACAAATGCAGATGTGTTGACAAAAGAAAAATTTCAGGAACTCAATATTAGAATTAAAGAGAGACAGCCTCACATTATAGCTATAACTGAAGTTAAACCAAAGCATTTTAGGTATCCCTTAACTGCAGCCCAGTTTTATATTCAAGATTATAAAATGGAACTATTGAACATTTCAAATGATATTGGCAGATGAATGGTGATGTATCTAAGCAGTGATATTCCTTATAGTTTGTTTGACGAACAGGAATTTGGTTCCTTCCAAGAAACACAAATATGTAAAATTAATTTAGCTGAGTGAAACTTTTTAATTTTCTGTTCCATTTATAGAAGCCCGAACTTGAATAATGAAAATAATGAGCACATGAATGATTTGTTTAGAGCTCTGGCCGACAATAATGACTTCTCACATTTTAATTGCAGGGGATATGAATTACCTTAAAATTGATTGGACACATTACAGGAGTTTAACAGCAGGAATCGATAAAGAATTAGACCATTAGAGATAGCTATTTATATCAGCACGTTGATACACCTTCACTACTGGATCTTGTGTTTACAACTGAAGAGAATTTGATAGATTACATTGAGTATGACGCACCACTAAGTAAAAGTGATCATTCTTTGATAAAAATTAAAATTGTATGCAGGGCAGAAGATAAACCAGAGAAACAGCTAAGATATATGAAAAAAGAATTTAAAAAAATGCAAGATATATTAACTGGGACTGGGAGGAATTACTTAATGCTTTGGGCGATGACCCTAACAAGCAATGGGATATATTATTATTATAAGTAATTATTATTATTTTCATATTATTATTATAATTATTTTAATAATACTAATAATGATAATAATAATAATAGTAATAATAATAATTATTATTATTATTATTATTTTTATTATTATTATTATAATTATTATTATTTATATGTATTTAATTATTGTTATAATTATAAGAATTATTATTATTTTCAAATGCTTCATAAAGCTATTTTATGCTACCAGCTATATCTATGCTATTCCAATGCTTTTAAGGCTATTTAAAAAAATCTATTTAAATGATGTTTAATAAAGCTATTTTATGCTACCAGCTATATCTATGCTATTTCAATATGCTTGATAAAGCTATTTTATGCTACCAGCTATATGGTACCTATGCTATTTCAATGCTTTCTAAGGCTATTAAATGCTTTGGACCAATATTGTGGCTATGTGCTGAAATCTTGCTTAAAGTTGGTGAGATTTCAGGTGGTTTAAAAGTGTATATTTGAATGTCATCGGCATAAACCATGCAACACATACCATGTGCCTTCACCAGATCTTCTAATGGAGCCGTATATAATATAAACAAAAGAAGTCCAATCACAGACCCCTCAGGAACCCCACATGACATATATTTAGGATTCGAGGAAACACCATGAATGACAACAGACTGTGTACGGAAACTTAAATAGAATGAAATCCAATTGAGGGCAACACCGGAAAAACCATAGCATGTAGACAACCGATGTAGAAGGAGATGGTATCAAATGCAGAGGAAAAATCAAGAAGAGTACGTATCGCTTCTTATTTTTGATCAATAGCCATTAAAACATCATTCTGTACACGAAGTAAAGCAGTTTCTGTACAACACTATTTAGACCATTAGAACGATATGCTTTTAAATTATGTACAATTGTTTATTATGTAAGTATAACAAACTTGAAAGCAACAAAAAGTGTCAGTAAACAGACTGAATGTCAGCGAATTAAAGGTTGGCAAATTTGTTGTCAACAAATTGGCTGTCTGCGAATTGTCTATCAGCGAAAGTGCATTTGGCGCTGGCGCCGAAATGTCTGTCGGTGTATTGGCCAAAGGGCAGAGCTGGTTAGATTACAGCTTTGACTTTTCATTACTATGGCAACTTCAGTTCCCAAATACTGGACTAACAATAGGTTGCTGATTAAAGAGTGAGTTGAATAACTGAGCGGTTGAGTCAGAGGCATTCAATAAGTATTCTCGGATAATAGGAACTATAAACCGTAAGCCCAGTGTACACAAAATGCTCTCATGTGCACTTTAAAGAACCCAGTATATATTTCGAGAAGAGTACGGGGTTACCCCAGCGTACTGGTCCACTCGGCCTGTCATGGACAGAAGAAATTGCGTCCTTTACCAGCTGCAGGCGACATGAAGTGACCCTCAGGGGAGGAGAAAGTTATTTAAAAGTGCAACATCTAGTCCACTGCACCTTTGACAAACGTTTGAATTGGCACATTATAAATGTCTGTTATTATTAAAATGTAGACTCAAAATTTCTGTTTAAATTTTTTAATGAAAAAATTTTCAACTGAAAACACCCCATATTGTGTGTTTATTTTTGTAGTCTATGTAAATGTTGTCATTCTAAGATTATATTTTCTGTGAGAATGGTTCAGCAGGGTCATCCATTATTTTCATCATTTTCACGAGAGTACAAAACATACTCTTTTTGCTAACCCCCTCCCCCCCCCCTGTGAAAGAGTACATGATAAAATGATGATTTTCTTCCACTGTTTTATAGCGGTACAGATATAAGTAAATAAATATATATATATGTATATATATATACTGTATATATCCTCTTCCTACCCTCCAGTATTGTGCAATACATGTTGAAACATTGTGGGATAGCACAGCTCTCTATACACAATTCAAAATAAATTTGCTGATTTTTGTTTCATATCATGTCAAATTGAATTAATTGCCTTAATAAATTTTTCATTCTGTTGTGTGTGCTTTTTTTTCCTTTTGATCTTTTTGTTTAAATTAAAAATATCTTTGATATTTTGTCCTAAAATAGGCCTACAATATTCCCTGCTGACTGGAACAACACTATCCTTAATTGAAAAATCTCAAACAATCTGCTACCAAAACTATTAAAATACCACGTATGATTGCTTAGTTTGGTTACTATGACAATAGACTGACAACACTTGGTGCCACAATCAGTCTACTAATATAAGAACATGAGCCCAATCCTTGCCCAATAACCACATAGCCAAAATAGTGGTAGGCATATAGATTCCATTTTTAACACAGCAAACTTGCGTATTTTAATAATAATTCATTTTAAAAATATAAACAATTAATAAACTTTCATTTTGTTTAAAATTTCCACATAGGCATAGACAAAATAATTGAATATTTAGACAAAGTTGAAAGCGAGTTCATGAATAAAATGACGCAGAAGAAAGAAATCACATGGCTAACCTTTCACCTAGATTGGTGGTGCGTGATTTGTTGAGGGCTTTTTTTGGATGAGGGCCAATTCACTGCCTCATGCTCAAGATTGTTTGTGATTGATGATTGTATGGTGTGGTATTTAGAACAAGAGAACACGTAAAACTTACGTTATCATGAGTGTCCGTGGAATACAATAAAAAATAAATTGTGTTTTAAAATGTTAAATAGAGTGAGTGGATGTAGGCTCATTGAATTTAAAAGGCAGGAATTAGGCCTAGTGAAGTAGAAGAAAGGAGAATAAATAGGTAGTCTTAGCCTAGCACAGCACAGTGAACACATGGTCCCATTGCTCAGTGCTGTCAAACTGTGGTTTAGGCTGCTGGCCTAGGCTTACAGTTTATTCAAACTTGCGGAGATAGAGTGCATTTCCCTTGTATTTCGAAATTGTTTGTAAGTACACAATGCTTATCAACACATCGTTAATCATGGGATGCAAGATAACGCTGTGTATAAACAGTTGATAAAGTTAACATTTACTCGTGAATTGCTAGGTAACGTATGCTAACATTTCCAAATCGTCATTTTTGCACTTTTTGAAAAGTGTATACACACCTTCAACCACCTCCCCCTGCGTATGTTTTGTACGCTTGTGAAAATGATGAAAATAATGGATGACCCCTTAGCATCATAGTACAAACCTAGGACTATCCAGTTACTGTATATGTGAATGTCGTTTAACTAAACATAAACAATAAAATTCATATAGCCAAATTTGCAGAAAACTGTTCTGTTGATCAAACAATTTAACGATCAAAAAAATCATATGGCTGTGTACATGTGAACCTTACTTGGAAAAGCGTGATTCAAGATGCTGGATAAGGTATTCTCTTGGGGAGAACACATGGTCCCACACAGTAATTGAGGAAGCATAGTTAATGGCAAAGCAAAGCTCTGTGAGCTGGGTGTGGAATTCATCAATTCTAGAAAAGATAAAAACAAATGTGATTAAAGAGAAAAAAATTAGCACACTAAATTAATACCAGTCAAGAATGGCTCTACAATAACTGAATCATAGTTTGTTCTTTACATTTGTACTCCGTCTCATAGTACAGATATTCTGTACTGTGGAGCACATAAATTGAACAAGAAAATACTGTCTTTACAGATTAATACTGTTGGTCTACTAATTTACATAAACCCTTAAATTGGCTGGTAATGAATATAAAAATGTTTGTAGAGTAGTTAAATCTGTATATCAGCAAAACATTGTTTTGATTATGTATCACAGGGATTAATAATTTATTTAATCATTTTAGATAAGAAATTTAATGTTTTGAGGTGGCTTTTTCAGAGCTTACTTTTGAAAGTATCGTATACCTTTTCCTCAGAGATTCAGAGATTAATTGTCATAATATTTAAGACATTTTTCACATCACAAATTAAGGATTTTACAATCACATGTCCCATCTGATATGATTAATTTAGACCTCAGACTCAAAAAACAGCTGAGCAAACATTTGTAGTCACCAATATTGTGAAGGAAAATATAAGAAAACACAGAAGTTGAGAAAGACTACAAAATATCAAACTTAATTGATCATTAAATACAAAAACCTTAGTGGAGTCATAAAGAAAATTGGTTATCTATTTACTATGTGAGCATTTCTTTGTGTAATGCAGATGACACTGAATTAATTAAATTTACACAAAAAGTGATTATTACTCAGTAAAGTCTTCTCTGGTTTTTCGGAAGCTCTCCAGACCAGGTTTGGGAGGTGACTGGACATTCTTGAGTTTCTTGTTTAGTTCCTTAATGGCATTCTTCTTTTGTAGATCAATGACCAAAACAATTGCAGCATTTTTTGGTAGTAGCTATAGCAAATGGATAAAAATATGGAAATACAAATATGATGATGAGTCATAATAATGGATTAAAATAATGAAAAATAATAAAACTAGATTTGAACTTGTCACTGAAGACGAGTTTGGTGATCCGCCGTACTTTGACCCTCAGGAAGTGCGCGCGGTGTGGATTGAAGAATTTTTAAATGCTGAAAATGGGCTAAAGTATACGCCTAATTCAGTCTTTTAAAAAAAATAATTAAAAAAAAATATTAGGAGCATGTTAAAAGATTTACTCATGTGTACGCGCACGTCATGACGCACGTGCGCATGAAGTGTTGACTCCTAATATGAGATATATATATCAACTCTCATTGACAAACGCCTGTTAGTGAGGAACTTATCATTTATAATATTTATCATATAAAAATTCAATTTTTGAATTCAGATGTCAATATGATGACGTCACAATGCCGATCAGCCATAATGATCTATAAAATCATATCTACAACTTATGTGCTTTCAGAATATGTAATAAAAATCCTAAGGGCCTACAACTGATTAAAAATATTCATGATTTTAAGCATATATAAATTTTGACGCACGCGTACGCGCACGCTAAAAAGCGCGAATGGAAAACTAGGGTACATGACATTCAACATTGACCTAAAGCTTATGCTCACTTAATATGATTCAGAAATGACGAATGGTTAATATACTATGGGGTCATCACCATTTTGAGCAATGAAAAATGAAGGGGGTCAGAAAAAACATTTTTTTTTTACCATGATGACGTCATCAAAATGTAAAAAGACGTCACACATATAAAAGAGAATTGTCTCAGCTATAACATACTCAAAGTTGGAAGACGATCGACTATTAAAGGATAAGCGAGATACGCTCAAATGCGCATTTTCAAAAATGACGTCATAGATAAAATTCAGTTTATTGAGTTCAGATGGCAATATGATGACGTCAAAATATGTAACAAAACGTGATTCCAGCTTCAGTACGTTCTGTGTGCATGGAAATGAACATATGGCGCGTAAATATGGAAAGTTTTGGAATGCTGAAAATGACCCGAAACGTTTAAACTATCTGAATAGTGATACTGAGAATTTTCAAATTTTAACATACGCACACGTCACGATGTGTGCGTGTACAGTAATGGCACACAAAATTAAATATTGTCATGTTTTTAAAACCGTTTGTTAGTTATTAATGCCACATGAATTTTCCCTTCATATAACCTATACTGTATATATAAGTCTGATAGCGTCGAAATACAGTCTGCCGCCATCTCTGTGTTCTATTTTTTACATCTTTTAAGAATGAGAGATAAGAATGCTCTAAAAATTCATTCTTTTTTACCATGCTGACGTGATCAAAATAAAAAATAAATGGAAACATCCGAAAGATAATTGATTTAGCTATAACATACTCACAGGTGGGAGAAAAAAAAGATGATCCTGACAATTACAAGAGGTGATCCGCTCGAGAAGCGGATCACCAAATAGACTTGAACTCGTCACTGAGGACGAGTTAGGTGACCGCCGCACTTTGACCCTCGAGGAAGTGTGCGCGGTGCAAATTGAACAATTTTTAAATGCTGAAAATGGCTCAAAGTATATGCTAATTCATGGTAATAGCACAAGGAGTGACTCCTGATAAGAATACAGTGTCAGGAACATAAAATATGTAACAAAACGTGATTTCCAGTTTCAACGTGATGTGTGCGTGGAAATGAACGTATGGCGCATAAACATGGAAAGTTTTGGAATGCTGAAAATGACCCGAAACATTCTTTAAACTATCTGAATCGTGATATTGAGAATTTTCAAATTTTAACACACGCACACATCACGATGTGTGCGTGTACAGTAATGGAACACAAAATTAAACATTGTCAAGTGTTTTTAAAACCGTCTGTTAGTTGTTGTTAGTTGTCACGAATTTTCCTTTCATATACCTTATATGTATATAATAGCGTCGAAATACAGTCTGCCGCCCTCTCTGTGTTCTATTTTTTACATGTTTTAAGAATGCAAGGTAAAAAATTCATTCTTTTGACCATGCTGACGTGATCAAACTGAAACATAATGGGACACGTCCGAAAGAGAATTGATTTAGCTATAACATTCACAGGTTGGAGACAATCAATCAAGATAGGCGAGATACGTTCAAACGGGTATAAAAAGTAATGACGTCATAAATAAAAATTCAGTTTTTTCTTAATTTAAATGGCAACATGACGTCGTCGCAATGTCCGATCAGCCATTATATCTATAAAATCGTTTCTACAACTCGTGCTTTCAGAATAAGTAATAAAAATTGGGGGTCACCTTTCATCCTAAGGAGCCATAACTGATTAAAAATATTCATGGTTTTATGCATATAAATGTTGACGCACGCGTACGTGCACACTAAAAAGGTACATAACATTCAACCTTGACCTGAAGTTTATGCTCACCTAATATGATTTAGAAATGACGATTGGTTAAGATGATATGGGCTCATCAACTTTTTGAGGAAAGATAAGGGGGTCAGAAAAACATTTTTTTTGACCATGATGATGTCATCAAAAAGTAAAAAGAAGTCACATATTTGAAAGAAAATTGTCTCAGCTATAACATACTCAAAGTTGGAAGACCATCGACCAAGAATAAGCAAGATAAGCTCAAATGCGCATTTTCAAAAATGACGTCATCGAAAAAATTCAGTTTGTTGAATTCAGATGGCAATATGATGACGTCACAATGTCCAATCAGCCACTATGATCTATAAAATCATATTTACAACTTTGTGCTTTCACAATATGTAATAAAAATTGGGGGTCACCTTTCATCTTAAGGAGCTATAATTGATTAAAAATAGGCCTTTCTTTAGCATATTTTCACTGTATATCGGCACAAATCCCTGCAAATATCCCTATGTTTGATGCGCACGTATGACATTGCTATTGGCCGTAAGTTGACCGAAAAGAATGGAAATTTGTGAAAATAATTTCAGGAACCCAAAATATGTAAAAAAACGTAATTTCAAAAAAATGTTGAAATGCTCAAAATGGCCTGAAATGTGCTCTGATTTAGTTAAAAAGTGAATTTCGAGCATTTTGAAAATTGATCGCGCACGTTATGAAGCGCACATGTAAAATTATGGTACATTACATTTAACATTAACCCGTTAGGCTGATATGTTCGATTATGTAAAACTGGTCTGGTCACCTTGAAAACCTTACCGTGATTATTCCAGGCGAAGCCAAAATGATCGATGAAGCGACCGTGTGCGTAACTCGTGGCAATTTTAAGATATCGTGCGAACAAAAATGGAAGGAAAGGTAGAATAAGAAAAAGATCTCTGACAATAACAAGAGGTGATCCGCTCAAGAAGCGGATCACCAAAAAGATGATCCTGACAATAACAAGAGGTGATCCGCTTCTCGAGCGGATCACCAATAAAATAACACTCACTTAACCTATGCTACTGTCTGTTGAGTCTAAATGTTCTAATACTAAAAAAGAGACTGACATGGCTGCACATGCAGTTAGCGAAACAGCTACCGGTCCGGTAACAAACGATGGTAAAGGCAGGCTCAGATTGACACGGAACTGAAAGGACTCAACTCAACTCGTCGACATGAGCGCTCCGCGCAACTGAAAGGAACTGAACTCATGTCGACTTTGAGCAACTGAAAGGAACTGAACGGAACTTGGCTCATGTCGACTGGCAACTGAAAGGAACTATTGGCTAAAAACATTTTCCCTGCGAAATCCCATCAACTACAAAATGTCTGTAATGTTTTTATTAAGACATGTAATTATTTTAAAAAGTGTATCTACTTTATTTTTTTTGTTTTGAAAATGTCGACCGGCAACTGAAACAAATGGTGCCTGTTTGATTAGTCGACAGAATTGAGTTTTTAAAGATTTCATTTTCTTCGAAATCTCATCAACTGCAAATAAATGTTTGAATGCTTGTAAGATTAGACGTGTGGTTAAAAATAATAAAATTATTTTTGAAGTTTATCTACTCTTTTTTTTTAATTTAGAAAAGTGTATCGCATATTGGTCTATTTCAAATGGGTTCATGCAAAATCTGGTGGAACAATTAAAACAAGAAAGGTCTTTTTCTATATGAAAAAACAAAATGAAAAACAACAAGTATACACGAATGCATTTTATACGTGACAATGTTTTACATGAATCAGCTGTCAAATATGTTATAAAAATGTATTAATTTAATATTATGCGAATGCAGCAGCATACTTTTAATAAAATGCATAATTTAACACTACACTGCAGAGGGACTTTCTGAAAAAGGAATTTAGCTTTTCTTGACCTAGGCCTAAGCCTACGCCCTAGATAAATGTTCTACTGTTAAAGAATTTGTACAAAACTTCAAAAACAATGCACACTCCCGAGAATTACTGGATTATTTATAATTCATAAAAATGGATTTTGGAAGTGAGATCTGCATGCCAGTTAGTTGTCAAGTCTTTACTCGTCGTACGTAGAGTTAGACGTAGGCTAGTAGGCCTGGCATAGGAAGCCTGCCTTTTTTCTACACTCTAGGCCTAGCCTAGGCTAGCTAGAATATAACATATGCTGTATTATTATTATTATTATTAGGCCTAGCCTAGGCCTATTTGTTAATGTGTTAGAATAAAAATCTGGCCTATGGCCTAAATTTTTTAAAACAAAGAATAAAGTAATCTGCCATTAACAAAACATTGTAATATAATATCTTTTTTCAGTTAATGCATCTTGATTACGATTAATATCAGGATCAACGTTTTCAGTTCCTTTGAGTTCCGAATCAGCATTTTTTACGCCCTTTTTTTAGTTCCTTTCAGTTCCGCTAAAAGTTGAAAATGGGCAACTGAAAGGAACTCAACTCAACTCAACTTGACTCATGTCGACAAATATGCGCGACTGTCAGTTCCTTTCAGTTGCGGTCAGTTCCGTTCAGTCGACGAGTTGAGTTGAGTTCCGTTTCGACCTGAGCCTGCCTTAAAAGTAATAATTTTTCATAAATTAATTTAAAATATGGATTGATATTCAATCCTATCTGCGAAAATTTGATAATCTAAGATGTTATAGTTTTTGAGACCGGTAGGTTTCGAATCCCAGATGTGTATTATGTGCATCAGTTTCTGTATTGTCTGTAGTCTTTGAAATATGCATAATTATAATATAGATAATATTATCAGTATAATTACTCCTTGAATTAAGAAAAGAAAACTTCACAGTGCAGTAGACAACTATTTTAGAATGCAATCACAGGAGTCCTAGTATTGTCTAAAGTCATTGCAAAATCAGTTTTTGTAATAAAAAAGTTTAAAAAGTGACTGTTAAAATTAGCATTTATAAGGTAGCAATATATTTACCTGGTCACTGAGTGTGCATTGCTCTGAGCAAATCTTAGTAACCACATTCTTCACAGATTTGGCCATCTCATCCAAAAAAAGATTTGTTACGGATACACTCCTCTCGCCAATATGATAACGCTGTAAACAAAACCAACAAGATTACCACTAATAATTGCAATGCATGTACATCTTCTTATCGAGTCACTACGTAGCTAGCGTGTATGATCTAGCTTACGTAGTGTGGTAGAATGATTCGGAGGTAGGATGGATACCTGACATGGGCCGTGACATAAACGCTCCTGACATGGGCCGCGACATAAACGCTCCTTCTGTGGCCGGACAGGGGACTGGAAAATGGACCAGTACACCAGGGTAACTCAATACTCTTCTCGAATGATGTACTGGGTTCTTTAAAGTGCCCACAAGCCAATTGTGTACACTGGACCTACGGTTTAGAGTCTTTATTTGAAAAAGACTTGTTCCACCACCAGAACCATAGGCGAGCGTGCCGTTCGAACCAGCGCTGAAATTATAGCTATATGTCACGGTTCCCGTCTTAACCCCGCTCGGACAAACGACTCGCCTGCATGTATATAAATCACAATAATTCACATAGATTTTCTCTCAAAAAATATATGTAACCCATTTTTATTACCAATATAATGTTAAGCCTAGGAATTTGAAGAGATGCATTAATCTCTCTCTATTAAGTGAGGACTGTAACTACAGTAACCCGATCATGAAAATCATTTGATGTACAGGGAATTTAAAGCCTTTCAAAAATTCTGATGAAACATAGGGTTCATTAGAAGTAATTTGCTTTCAAAGCTGACTCACACCTCTGTCTTATATTTTTCTAAACATTTGCAATTTTACATTCAGACATTTATTCATTAGGACAAAATTCATGGCCTACTCTGTAAACTACGTGCTACCACCTTCCCACAATTCAGCATTTATTTAAGATAAATTCACATACAAATGAAAAGTGTTATTTGTATACTGAATTATGTTCATAGTATTATAATTTGCATGGCAGAGTACCAATCATGCATTTGTGAGTGTGTCAACATATCACAGCAGAAAATAACAGACAAGGCATTGAAGAAACAAAAACAAAGAACATAAAGGACAACAATAATGCATAACTAGTCTTCTAATTTAAAAAATACATAAATTTCAACAACCACTATAAATATACAAAAACCAACAAACACTCAATATTTTGCTACATTACTGAAATTTATATTTATTTTAAAATAAATGAGACATTAAAGCTAGTGTATAGTGTGTACCAATAAATATATTAGGGAAAATTCCTCAAAGCGTAAAATTTATTGATTCTAATATTAAATAAACAAATAAAAGTGCGTGTGTGTATAAATAAGTTTCAAACAGAATTGCCTGCTCTTCCATTGCCATGGTATTATAAGTTGTAATACTTAATATATTTACTATTATATTTTAGCTCTATTTCATTATTAGTCAAAATAACTTTTTGACTATTACAGAGGCATCCAATAAATTCACAAAAGACTCATCAGGCTACAAATAGACCGAATCGGCGACTCCAGCTATTACTGGTCACGTGACATATAGTGGGTACAAAATATAAACATACATATCGTAAACCACAGTGCACTCATTGAACACAGTCATATGATGATCATTATCCTCGGCAGTAACTACAAACATCGTATGAATTTAATTTTGGATTTAAAGTCACTGTAAAATAATACTCTTGCAACGAATGGGGAGATTCGTTTTTTTTTTCATGCTGCGATAGCATTTGCCATGAATAATACTCTTGACTTAGGCCTAAAAAGTACCTCAGCCAGCAACGACTCAACTGACTGGAGCAATATGCACGTTGTGAAGGTACTGTACCTTGACCAGGGCCCGGAGCAGGGAAGGAGTTGTTATGCCTTGACTATATATATCTCTGTAGTCGAGTAGGTAATAAAGTAGAAAATAACCCTTAATGGTACTGATTGCTCAACCAAACTTGGTCTAGGAAACAGGCTGATGAAAATATGCCTGGCATGGTATGGTACATCCTAATGCTGTAGGCCTACGTAATAATAATATTTGTTGTCAAATGATGATCATTATCCTCGGCAGTAACTACAAACATCCTATGATTTAATTTTGAATTTAAAATAACTGTAAAATAATACTCTTGCAACGAATGGGGGATTCTTTTTTTTTTTTTGTTCATGCTACGATAGCATTTGCCATGAATAATATTCTTGACTTAGGCCTAAAAAGTACCTCAGCCGGCGGCGAATCACTGGAGCAATATGCACGTCGTGAAGGTACCGTACATTTCCTCGAAAAACTTCCAGGCTTTATTCCCACTAGAGCCTTAGCAAACCAAACTGATATGTATTTAAAAATTTAATTTTGGAACACTTCTAAGTGATTTAAATACCAAATTATAACTTGCATTCCACCCAACATTTGCAATATATATGATGTGACTTACATCAAAAAAAAAGGCGAAGCCATATTCAATGCACTGTCGTCTATACCCACTATAAGTCACATGAACCCAGCCGCCGATTTGGTCTATTATCAAGTTGGAATGGGTGGGTGGGAAATAGATTAAGTTTACTTGGAGTATAATCAACTTGAACGGATTGAAGCCTGATGACAAAAGAAAGAATGTGATGTTACCCTCTGTCAGTCAAAACAAGATTGAGCCCTCAATCAGTTTATTATGTTACCTCAACTGCCAAAAATTTATGGCCTGCATTTTTTTTTTGTTGAATTCAACATCAGCAGGCTACCAGACTCTGTAGATGTGTATAAGAGACAGGTTAAAGAATTTGTACAAAACTAAACCATGCGCAACAGTGAAATTAGAAAGCACAGGCCTAGACTTGCATTTGACAGGCTTTTTGCCACCGTGGCCATCGATTTTTGACCAAGTGCTTTCCATTCAGATTTTACATGCCAAAAACATATAGATAAATATCATGACAGTGATTAAAAAATAATCTCTGCCTCACCCTTCTCAGTTGTGTTGGGCAACACAAGATATTTGTAATAATATCACAACAGAGGCTAAATTAAGTGCACATGAGTCTGGTGTGTACAATGGACCTGCGGTTATCTAAGACTTGGTTCTACCAACCAAACCCCTAGGCAAGGAGGGTCCTAAACCAGCACTGGTTTTAGCATCACCATGCCTTAATGCTCAGTCACTCAACCTACTCAAAACTGCACAATATTGATGGACAAACTAAAACAAGTTTCAGGAACCAATTTACATACACTGCACTTAATTTTGCAGAGTCACTTATTTCGCTCTAGTTGCACTGCATGTAATCATTTTTATTGTCATTATATACAGTAATGTGTTTTAATTCAATTCAATCCAATTACATTCTTAATTATTTGTTTGCACTAAGATAATACAAGAAATATATAAAATAAAGGTTGTTAAAAATATACAATACTCGAATCACGCTAATACCTATAAAAAAAATACACATATCAATTTCAATAAAAACAAAATTCAACATAAATAGAAAAAAGGTCACCAAAAGAAAATGAACAAAAGGAATTGTGGGTAAGCAACCAACCATCCAATGGTGATTTGACTTTCTTACCAGATCCATGAAATATGATTTGCTTTCACGGAAATCCCATGGCGTTCTCTGAAACAGTTATTTCATAGTATCACTTCTAAATGAAATGCGATGTACATACTTCAGAAGCAATCACATATTTAACAATAAGACAAGAAAAATGGTATGCTTACTCAAGGCACACATAGAGAGTATGGCATACACAAATAAAATAAGAGACAATAGAGAGGTTTTTTTATATTCATAGTTGTTACACTGACACAAAGAAACAAATATGGTCACGAAAAAAGATGTATCGAAAAATTGGTCACAATATTATACAAAGGTGTTTGGCATAGTGTTATAAGAATTTAATCAGAAGCAAGCAAAGTTAAAGTAGATTTGCTAATGCACATACATCAGTTGTCACTGGTCCTATTTTTTTCAGTCTATCTGTTTTGTCTTTACTGAAATTGAGCATGGAATTCATTTCCGTTTCCATACACAAATCAAATTGTTTTATACTTAATGTTGCAATATGATGGGAAGTGCATTTTGGCTCTAAATTTAGCTACAGTGCAATATTTGTACTACTTTCATAGTAAGTAAAACATGTATAAGATGTTTTTCTAGTTATCAGTTAATTATCAGTAGAAAAATGAGTTACCTAAAAGCTCTATTACTTAATGCAAATAACATAAATTTACGAAATATCTAATCAAATTGGCATTTTACCCAAAATTATGTACCACTTTCTGAACATTTTATTATTGTATATATGGTCAATGCTTGTGTTATTTGCAACTTGTATATCAAATCTGCATGGGCTTGCAGTATATGGCAATATAAAAATTGATATATTCTAAAATACATGATTGGCTTTAGCGTAAATTAAAAAGAGATGAAATTTACTACATAAGCTTACCTCTTCAGGGCAAAGGTCATGTGTACAGTCAATGAAGTGAGAGCAGATGAGTGGATATGCGATAGTGAAGCGCATCTGGGAAAAATCCTTAAGACCTTGTTCAAAGGACTTCTCAAAGAAACGGCCAAAGTGACTGAAAGCATACAATGGTGGTAAGTTGATCAATTTAATGATAGTATAATTTACATTCTGAAACTGAGATGAACATTTTAATAAATCCATCTCAGTTTGTTATAAAATAAATTTTTAAAAATAAATAAATAAAAAGTTCAGAAAAAAAAGGCTATACTTTGCAGGTGGAAACTGGCGTTGCAAGCAGCTCTACTAGAGATTAATATTCTGGCTTTGTATTTTATAGGATTCTTGTTGAAATTTAAAAAAAAACAGCTTCCCAACCTGTGGAAGGGGGCTAGCATTCCACAAAATAGGTAGCCCACAATAAATACATCATACATTAATAAACATTCATATTAGACTAACAAATCATAAAGTACTGAATTCATTAGTGATTAAAATTGGCCTTGAATGGGAAAAATAATGAGTAATTTACTATTAATTAATATTTAGACCAAACAATTCATGACAGATACTGGGAAAATTAATTTTTAATAATAATTAAGTAATTTAATGAGATCGAATTGTAACTTACCAGAACACACTAAGGTCAGAGGTCTCCAGTAGAAGCTCATCCAGATGATCAACCATCATGGTGTGGAAGACGATGGAGTTCATGGTCCTGCCAAGTTCTTGGTTGTCTGTCAACATCAGCGTGGCCTTACTGACACTGGTGTAGGCTTGCAGACGAAACCAGTCCAAGCGAAATCCAGTGAAATCAAACAGTTCTCCTTCTTCAACTTTGAAATTAAAAAATATGATGCATGTATTCAGATCAAATTTTTATACTACAATTCTTTATCCAATACATTTTGATGCAACAAAAAAGAACTAATACTCTTTGAAAACTGATATTTCTTTCATTTTTGAGGTTTTTCTTGAATGACAGTAAATGTTTAAAGACAAACATTAAAGCATAGTCCTTGCAAATGCTTTGCATTGACTTACTCTGTTTAACACTGAGTCCTTCCATAGTATTCACAAATGAAGTCAGGATGACTGACTCATCTTCTGGACAAACAGTTAAACCCTGAAAAGCAGCAAAACATATTGTGAATCAATAAAGATATTTATAAAATATAAAAGTTATTGTCTTTCTTACAAATGACAATATAATCAAAAATTGTTTGTGATAACACTAGAAATACATTGTAAAAACAACATATTCAACTGTGCTTTTATTTATTTATTTATTTTATTTCAACAATATTTTGTGAGGGTGGTCCATCCAGCCTGAGCTGATCAATTAAAATAAAATAAATAAATAATTAATAATAAAAATAATTAGAAAAAAGCATATATAGGCCTACAGTATATAAATTATATAAAATAATGATTTAAGGAAAACATTAAATCAAGAAAAAAAAAAGGGGGAAAAAATAAAATTGATACATTATACAGAAAATATAATTGAAATAACAAATTAATCAAAAGAATTCACAAGGAGATAATTAATTAAACTAACAAAAAAAAAGAAAAATTTAAAATAAACTGTTTTATAAAAGATAAATAATTTACTATACAAAACAGAAAAAAATCAAGATTAAAAAATATTGCAACAAAAAGAGATGGCCACAGGGAAAATTACACAAGATTGGATGAAAGATAACTAAGAAGGTTGGATTTGAAAGAAGAGAAGGAGTAAGTAGAACGGTGGAAGAGAGTTGTAGAGGTAAGGGGCATTAAAGCTGAATGAAGTTTTAAAGATTTCTTGATTAGGCTTAGGAATGATTTAGTGATTTTTCTTGTGGTCATACGCCATTGGCAACAATCTTTTTGAAGCATTGACAAAGAGTTTGTGAAGCAAGGTTATGAAGAGCAGAGTTTGAAATTGAAATCAGAGATGAAGTGGAAGGGTATTGGCAGATCTGAAATGAGTAGGAGTAAGGTGAGTGGTAGGAGGAAGTTTGAATAAGATACAAATGGCTCTGTTCTGGATCTTCTGAACTTTTGATAATGAGGTAGATTTTGAAATATTGCACCAAAATTATTTTATTAGAAAAATGATTTGAACAAAAATATAATGGCTTATGTTGCTGATTAAAAACATATCCGTCAACGTGCTTTTTCTGTTCAAGCTCCTTCTCTGTGGAATTTTCTTCCTTTTTCTGTTCGTAATTCACCTAATTTATATTCTTTAAAGAAGAACTTAAAGTTTCACCTTTTTGAGAAATGTTACTGAGTTTGTTTTCTCCTGCGCCTTTGATAAATTTTTGAATTGGCGCTATATAAATGTTTATTATTATTATTATTATTAATGTTCCAATATGTACGATGAATTAAGTTTTGGATAATCTCACCTTGACAATGTTATTAAGTACAATGGCATCGTATCCTCGCAAATACTGAAGATAATAACGTTGGAACACCTGATTGTATTTCTTAACAAGAGCTAAAAAACAATATGAAAGAATTAACAGAAAAAAAAAATTAAATACTGTAGTTACATATAATTATAGAATATGTAAATCACTGTAAAAATATGACATTATAATCTCTAGATTGACTTTATATTGATGGCAAGATACACTTATAGCAAGGTAAATTAACAAAAAAAAGTATACAGGATTAAATAAGAGAGGAAGTGTAAGAGATTAGGTTGAATCCAAGCAAAGATAGGCAAGTGAGCAAAACCAAATTCACTCATCAAAAGATTGGTCATGTTATCAGCTCAGATTAAGCAAAAAAAAAAATATGTTGTGTTGGCCACGCCCGACCAAGCCAAATTTTACGAAAGTCAGGGTCGACATTTCAGCAAAAAATATCTTTTTTTATGAACAAAATAAGGCTTAAATAGCTTCATCCATGCACTAGGGGCCAAGGCCTAGCCTATTTTGCTGGATGGTACGCGATGCAAATCCAAAATTGTTGTACCGTTTCGTAGTTCCCCGGGTATAGTTCCAACCTCAGGTATAATCCCACCCCCGAAATTACGCCCAACTTCGCGTACATGAATTTCGCGGGTAAAGTCCCAGGGCATAATTTGGCTGAGTAGGCCTAGGCATAGGTCAGTAAAATGCTCACAAAAATTAAAGGAATAGTCTCCAAATTCTGCTGACTTGAAACACTTCCAATTGCTTTAAAGTTTAACACAAAGCCCATCCTTGTAAATTCTTTTGTTGTTTATTGTTGCTAAAAATAAACAGCTTGCTAACTGCAGCTAAAAATAGACAACATCGCGGTGTGTCCCTAAAGAGACCCGCCCAGTGAGCTGATTGGATCGTTAATTCTCAGCGTGAAGACTCACATGTACCACAGCTGCAGCTAAAAATACACAATACAGCGGTTCGTTTCTGAAGAGACCCGCCCAGTTCGCTGATCGGATCGTTAATTCAGAGTGTGAAGACTCGCGTGTTCCACAAAGATTCGCTGCTAAAAATAACTTGTTACATCATGCAACAAAACAAGTTTAGGCAAAAAGAGGCTAGCGCGAGGCTAGCGTGAGGTAAGACCAAGATATGGCCTAGTTAGCTAGGCGCCTAGGCCTACTGAACTACAATTAAAGGTGTTCCCTTCCTTTGATACTCAAGTAAAGACCAACTTCTTCGCCGGAATATTGTATCGTAGGGCAATTGTTGAAATGCATCTGCCACCTCGAAAAATTATTGTTATTTTCATTCTGTTCATGCACAAGGGAATCCCCGGGTATAACCCTCCCCCCCACACCAAAAAAAAACAAAACTGGGCCAATTTCGCGTGCATGGGGAGTGGGATTATACCCCGGGAATTACGGGTATTATTCGTGTATTTTCTACTTTTTAGGCATAAACAAATTTTTAGTTCTTAAGAAAAAGAAAAGTTTTCCCACAGACCTACCCATTTTTGGGATTTTCCCAAAACGTTGCCTTACCTTCATTTCTAACGAGAGCATCAATGATTCAATAGCCGACTTGACAATAGCTGGCAATGTTTAAGTACTGTTAGCGAGTGGGGGTTGTGTGGAGTGTTGTTACATGTATTGAGCATAAAAAAAACGTTTAAAGTTATAGTAGTTGTATGCATCATCACAGACCTTTTTTGTTATGTTCACTTAACAGTTAGAAAAAGTGTGATGTTGTGTACAGTGATATTAAAGAAAATAAGGTTGTTGTAGGGGTTGTTGTGTACGTAATATTTTGTACTGTAATTATGAAGATATATATGTAGCGGTTTATGATTTAAGTAGACAGTTTGATGAGCGAATGGAATTTGTTGCATAGAAGTATTTCATTGTGAAGAAATATATTTATCCAAAGGCACATTATAATTACGTATATCATTTGTCTTTGTTAAACATGCAGCTTTGTTTGAGAAAGGCTAAATAACTTCTTGGCTGACGTCAGATCTTGATGTATTATGTATATGTTTATATATATATATGTATATATGTGTATACACATACA